CGGTATTACAACCCTATAGAACTACAAAGAGAAGCCCACCAACGGTATTACAACCCTAAAGAACTACAAAGAGAAGCCGACCAACGTTATTACAACCCTATAGAAATACAAAAGAAGACGACCCTTAACTGTTATTACAACCCTATAGAACAACGAAGAGAAGCCGACTAACGTTATTACAACTCTATAGAACTACAAAGAGAAGCCGACCAACTTTATTACAACCTTATAGAACTACAAAGAGAAGCCGACCAACGTTATAACAACCCTATAGAACTACAAAGAGAAGCTGACCAACGTTATAACTACTCTATAGAACTACAAAGAGAAGCCGACTAACGTTATTACAACCCTATAAAACTACAAAGAGAAGCTGACCAACGTTATTACAACCCTATAAAACTACAAAGAGAAGCTGACCAACGTTATCACAACCCTATAGAACTACAAAGAGAAGCTGACCAACGTTATTACAACCCTATAAAACTACAAAGAGAAGCTGACCAACGTTATCACAACCCTATAGAACTACAAAGAGTAGCCGACCAACGTTATAACAACCCTACAGAACTACAAACAGAAGTCGACCAACGTTATTACAACCCTATAGAACTTCAAAGAGAAGCCGACCAACGGTATTACAACCCTATAGAACTACAAAGAGTAGCCGACCAACGTTATAACAACCCTACAGAACTACAAACAGAAGTCGACCAACATTATTACAACCCTATAGAAAAACAAAGAGAAGACGACCCTTAATTGTTATAACAACCCTATAGAACTACAAAGAGAAGCCGACCAACGTTATTACAAACCTATTGAACTACAAAGAGAAGCCGACAAACGTTATTACAACCCTATAGAACTATAAAGAGAAGCTGACCAACGTTATTACAACCCTATAGAAGTACAAAGAGAAGCCGACCAACGTTATTACAACCCTATAGAACTACAAAGAGAAGCCGACAAACGTTATTACAACCCTATAGAACTACAAAGAGAAGCCAACCAACGTTATTACAACCCTATAGAACTACAAAGAAAAGCCGACCAACGTTATTACAACCCTATAGAAATACAAAAAGAAGCCGACCCTTAACTGTTATTACAACCCTATAGAACTACAAAGAGAAGCCGACCAACGTAATTACAAACCTATAGAACTACAAAGACAAGCCGACCAACGTTTTTACAACCCGATAAGACTACAAAGAGAAGCTGACCAACGTTATTACAACCCTATTGAACTACAAAGTGAAGCTGACCAACGGTATTCCAACCCTAAAGAACTACAAAGAGAAGCTGACCAACGGTATTTCAACCCTATAGAACTACAAAGAGAAGGTGACCAACGGTATTACAACCCTATAGAACTTCAAAGAGAAGCCGATCAACGTTATTACAACCCTATAGAACTACAAAAAGAAGCTGACCAACGTTATAACAACCCTATAGAACTTCAAAGAGAAGCCGACCAACGGTATTACAACCCTATAGAACTACAAAGAGAAGCCCACCAACGGTATTACAACCCTAAAGAACTACAAAGAGAAGCCGACCAACGTTATTACAACCCTATAGAAATACAAAAGAAGACGACCCTTAACTGTTATTACAACCCTATAGAACTACAAAGAGAAGGCGACCAACGGTATATCAAACCGTTAGAACTACAAAGACAAGCCGACCAGCGTTTTTTCAACCCCATAAAACTACAAAGAGAAGCTGACCAACGTTATTACAACCCTATAGAACTACAAAGAGAAACCGACCAACGTTATTACAACCCTATAGAACTACAAACAGAAGCCGACCAACGTTATTACATCCCTATAGAACTACAAAGAGAAGCTGACCAACGTTATTACAACCCTATAGAACTACATAGACAAGCCGACCAACGTTTTTACAACCCTATAAAACTACAAAGAGAAGCCGACCAACGTTATTACAACCCTATAGAACTACAAACAGAAGCTGACCAACGTTATTATAACCATATAGAACTACAAAGAGAAACCGACCAACGTCATTACAACCCTATAGAACTTCAAACAGAAGCTGATCAACGTTATTACAACCCTATAAAACTACAAAGAGAAGACGACCAGGTTATTACAACTATATAGAACTACAAAGAGAAGCCGACTAACGTTATTACAACCCTATAGAACTACAAAGAGAAACCGACCAACGTTATTACAACTCTATAGAACTACAAAGAGAAGCCGACCAACGTTATTACAACCCTATAGAACTACAAAGAGAAACCGACCAACATTATTTCAACCCTATAGAACTACAAAGAGAAACCGACCAACGTTATTACAACTCTATAGAACTACAAACAGAAGCCGACCAACGTTATTACAACCCTATAGAACTACAGACAGAAGCTGACCAACGTTATTACAACCCTATATAAACTACAAGGAGAAGCCGACCAACGTTATTACAACCCTATAGAACTACAAAGAGAAGCTGACCAACGTTATTACAACTCTATACAACTACAAAGAAAAGCTGACCAACGTTATTACAACCCTTTAGAACTACAAAGAGAAGCCGACCAACGTTATTACAACCCGATAGAACTACAAAGGGAAGCTGACCAACGTTATTACAACTCTATAGAACTACAAACAGAAGCTGACCAACGTTATTACAACCCTATATAACTACAAAGAGAAACTGACCAACGTTATTACAAACCTATAGAACTACAGACAGAAGCCGACCTACGTTATTACAACCCTATAGAACTACAAAGAGAAGCTGACCAACGTCATAACAACCCTTTAGAACTACAAAGAGAAGCCGACCAACGTTATTACAACCCTATAGAACTACAAAGAGAAACCGACCAACGTTATTACAACCCTATAGAACTTCAAAGAGAAGCCGACCAACGTTATATCAACCCTATAGAACTACAAGGAGAAGCTGACCAACGTTATTACAACCCTATAGAACTACAAAGAGACACCGACCAACGTTATTACAACCCTATAGAACAACGAAGAGAAGCCGACTAACGTTATTACAACTCTATAGAACTTCAAAGAGAAGCCGACCAACGGTATTACAACCCTATAAAACTTCAAAGAGAAGCCGACCAACGTTATTACAACCCTTTAGAACTACAAACAAAAGCCGACCAACGTTATTACAACCCTATAGAACTTCAAAGAGAAGCCGACCAACGTTATTACAACCCTATAGAACTACAAACAGAAGCCGACCAACGTTATTACAACCCTATAGAAATACAAAGAGAAGCCGACCAACGTTATTACAACCCTATAGAACTACAAAGAGAAGCCGTCGAACGTTTTTACAACCCTATAAAACTACATAGAGAAGCTGACCAACGTTATTACAACCCTATAGAACTACAAAGAGAAGCCGACCAACGTTTTTACAAACCTATAGAACTACAAAGAGAAGCCGACCAACGTTATTACAACCCTATAGAACTATAAAGAGAAGCCGACCAACGTTATTACAACCCTTTAGAACTACAAAGAGAGGCTGACCAACGTCATTACAACCCTATAGAACTACAAAGAGTAGCCGACCAACCTTAGTAACCAAGTCGAATAATTACCCTAATTGTCCCTGACATTTCATATTTAACTGATAATCTCCTTAGGTGTAAATTGACCCAGCTGAGTTAAAAGTAATAGTTATCCCATGAGGACGGAGTTGTTAATTTACCCTGATCGCCCCTGACCTTAGAGCTTATCTCAGTGGTCGGAGTTGTATTCAACCCTGAGTGCCCCTGACCTTTGATGTTTAACTGATAATCACAGTGGAAGGAGTTGTTACTTCACACCCTGATCGGAATTGAAATTTAATCCTGCATGACCTTGACCTTTAACGATTATCTGATAATATCAAGAGGTGAGAATGTTATTTGACCCTCAAAGCGATTGGCTGACTTTCTCTGTAGTCATTATTTGACCCTGAATGCCCCTGACTAACTAGAATAATAACTGAATATTTCAATGGATCAGAAGTTTATAAGTCCCTTATTTCCACCTACACTCTCTCAGTGATTCACTGTTCTCGTCTGTTGTCATTATTTACCCCTAACTATGATATTAGATTTGGATGGAGTAATTAATTACATGACCTAAGTGTCATCGTCGTGTGGTAAGTAACTCATAATCTTAACATTTGAATGGGTAGATGAAACAATTGTTAATATATATACACACCCCAACAGTCGTATGTTACTGATGACCTCGACCAATACCGATAGACTTGATATCGTGGATGCTTACCTTGTAAATAAGCTGTTACCTTACACATAAACTCTCCATAAATCCACACTCTGTATAAAGCATCACCAACAGCCATAGGAACACATATCAAGCTCACTGAAATATAGATACAACAATATCAATGATCCCCCGGTCTATGTTGATTTAAAACAACTATTCAAAAATACAAGGATTCAAAGATTCAATAAGAGTTGGGAGGTCAAATAAGATGCGAAGTTGAAGAAACACTGAAAATCTAAGATTCTGAAAAGTTGAGCTAAATAAGGCTAAGGTCATCTTTGCCGGAGTCCGAAAAAACCTTAGTGTTTCGAATAATTCAAAATTTTATAAACAGAAAAGTAAAAGAGAAAACTATTTGATGACCACCGTTTTGATGATTTTTCATGTCAACACAAAAGTGCTAATTAATGACATGGTGACACCCTCGGGCAGAAACGTCCACCAATAGCGGAATCGACCCAGAGTTTCAATGTCCGTTATATCTTCTTGACTGTAAATAAATGGCGATGTAGGTGTATGTATATATTAATCAATCAATGTAGGTGTATGTATATATTAATAAATCAGTGGCGGATCCAAGGGGGGGGGGGGGTTCCGGGAGTTGACGATCAATGCATTTGAATGGGGACATATAGTTGGAACCCCCCTCCCCCCTTTATCCTAGGTTAGGAACCTCCTTTTTATGAATGGCTGGATCTGCCCCTGCAAATGATGCAACAAAAGTCAAACAAACAGTCCTCACCTATAAATAGTATATCAAACAAACAGTCCTCACCTATAAATATTATATCAAACAAACAGTCCTCACCTGTAAACAGTATATCAAACAAACAGTCCTCACCTATAGATATCATATCAAACAAACAGTCCTCACCTATAAATAGTATATCAAACAAACAGTCCTCACCTATAAATATTATATCAAACAAACAGTCCCCACCTATAAATAGTATATCAAACAAACAGTCCTCACCTATAAATAGTATATCAAACAAACAGTCCTCACCTATAAATATTATATCAAACAAACAGTCCCCACCTATAAATAGTATATCAAACAAACAGTCCTCACCTATAAATATTATATGCAACAAACAGTCCTCGCCTATAAATATTATATCCAACATACAGTCCTCACCTATAAATATTATATCAAACAAACAGTCCTCACCTATAAATAGTATATCAAACAAACAGTCCCCACCTATAAATAGTATATCAAACAAACAGTCCTCACCTATAAATAGTATATCAAACAATCAGTTCTCACCTATAAATATTATATCAAACAAACAGTCCTCACCTATAAATATTATATCAAACAAACAGTCCTCACCTATAGATAGTATATCAAACAAACAGTCCTCACCTATAAATATTATATCAAACAAACAGTCCTCACCTATAAATAGTATATCAAACAAACAGTCCTCACCTAAAATATATCAAACAAACAGTCCTCACCTATAAATAGTATATCAAACAAACAGTCCTCACCTATAAATATATCAAACAAACAGACCTCACCTATAAATATTATATCAAACAAACAGTCCTCACCTATAAATATTATATCAAGCAAACAGTCCTCACCTATAAATATTATATCAAACAAACAGTCCTCACCTAAAAATATATCAAACAAACAGTCCTCACCTATAAATATTATATCAAACAAACAGTCCTCACCTATAAATACTATATCAAACAAACAGTCCTCACCTATAAATATTATATCAAACAAACAGTCCTCACCTATAAATATAATATCAAACAAACAGTCCTCACCTATAAATATTATATCAAACAAACAGTCCTCACCTATAAATATATCAAACAAACAGTCCTCATCTATAAATAGTATATCAAACAAACAGCCCTCACCTATAAATAGTATATCAAACAAACAGTCCTCACCTATAAATATATCAAACAAACAGCCCTCACCTATAGATATTATATCAAACAAACAGTCCTCACCTATAAATATTATATCAAACAAACAGTCCCTACCTATAGATATTATATCAAACAAACAGTCCTCACCTATAAATGGTATATCAAACAAACAGTCCTCACCTATAAATAGTATATCAAACAAACAGTCCTCATCTATAAATAGTATATCAAACAAACAGTCCTCACCTATAAATATATCAAACAAACAGTCCTCACCTATAAATATTATATCAAACAAACAGTCCTCACCTATAAATACTATATCAAACAAACAGTCCTCACCTATAAATATATCAAACAAACAGTCCTCACCTATAAATAATATATCAAACAAACAGTCCTCACCTTTAAATATATCAAACAAACAGTCCTCACCTTTAAATATATCAAACAAACAGTCCTCACCTATAAATATTATATCAAACAAACAGTCCCTACCTATAGATATTATATCAAACAAACAGTCCTCACCTATAAATGGTATATCAAACAAACAGTCCTCACCTATAAATAGTATATCAAACAAACAGTCCTCATCTATAAATAGTATATCAAACAAACAGTCCTCACCTATATATATATATCAAACAAACAGTCCTCACCTATAAATATTATATCAAGCTCTAAATCGTAACGGGTATAGAAAAGCTCTGAATAAATTCATAAAAGACCATCAAAGATCTCAAAATATTCGCTCAGTGACAAAGTATTTAGATAGAACTACGAGATCTCTTACAAATGACTACCACTGACTCTGACCACTGACGAGATTCTTTACACTTATTAGTACAATAGACACCACAATAAAATAAAGAAAAAGATACAATGAACAAGTAAACATCTAAATAAATATTACTGGTTCTGTGAGTGTTGTTAGACAATTCTGTTAGTTGTAAAAGGTCATTGACACAAAAGGTTTGACGACATGTGTAATGTTATTATCTGTTCAATTAAATGTTTTAGTAACCTGAAAGTTTAATAATCGATACAAACAAAGCTTAATACCAAAATTTACGATAAAAGAGATGATTTTTCATTTCCTATTATTAATTATCCATTTTTAGATGGTGACGTTTGATTCGCTCGTTTATGTAACAAAGTATTTGATTTTAACGAAAGAATTCTCTGTATTACTGAAAAATTATTACACCAGGGTTTTCGATATCACAAACTAGTCAAAACATTATTAAATTTTATCATCAGTACAAGGACATCATTCGTAAATATAAATCAGCATTCAGACATCTTATACGTTAATTATTTCACATCCAATCTTTTAGGGTAATATTCTATACAAAGCACAAAAATGTCGTCATTTACTTCAAAAGCAAACCAAACATTTAAACAGACTTATTCAGAAGGGATATAGTTACGATACTGTTGTCAGGTCATTAAAGATGGCATATTTTGGAATTAATATTGATTCACTCATAGGGTCTTTGCATCGAAAATAAACACATTTATTCTAAAACCAGTTGTTGGCATGAAACAGGTTATGTTCTTCTCATATATTTTATGATGGTATGATACTAAACCCCTAACGGGAGGGATTGTGCTTGATTTTCATATGATGAAGACATAATTTTTCAATCAGTTTAATTGAGGTCTGGAGCTGGCATGTAAGTAACTGCTAGTAGTCCTGTGGTTATTTATGTATCATTGTCATTTTGCTTAGTTTCTTCTGTTACCTATTCTGACATCGGACTCGGACTTCTTTTAAACTAAGTTTTACTGTGTGCATTGCTGTGTGTTTGTTTATTCTACATTGGCTAGAGATATAGGGGAAGGGTTGAGATCTCACAAAAGATGTTTAACCCCGCCGCATTTTTGCGCCTGTCCCAAGTCAGGAGCCTCTGGCCTTTGTTAGTCTTGTATGTTTTTTTTTAAATTTTAGTTCATTTATATGTTTTTGGAGTTTAGTGTGACGTCCATTTTCACTGAACTAGTACACATTTTTGTTTAGGGGCCAGCTCCAGGAGGCGGGCTTTTCGCGCTGTGTTGAAGACCCATTGGTGGCCTTCGGCTGTTTTCTGCTCTATTGGTCGGTTTGTTGTCTCTTCGACATATTCCCAATTTCCATTCGCAATTTTATCTATAGTCCATTTGAGTCAGTTGTGACAAAAAAACCGACTTAGTCTAGTATTCTTTTCTGATATATACAGACTAGCCGTTAATTGATAAAAAAAAAACCCAACATTTTCTCCACATTTTTCTAATAAACTCGTAAATTTAGATGACAAAAACAATGCATTATTTCCCATGAACTTTCTTTTCCTTTCATTTTCCTCCAGCCTTTCATTAAGATATAATCAGATATGGGTAAGTTTTACAAAATTTTAATATAGAAATATGTAAAGCAGAAGGCATGCCAAGGCCAATCAAAAAAGTATTATAAATCAATCAAAATTATTAACAGTCTTAAGATGTTAACAAGACATTTTTAGTCTGTCAGATTTCAGTATCTAAATTTTCATATTGTGTCTGAAATATTAACGGTGAGGCTTCCGAGGCAAAACTTGCAAAAACAACCCTCTTCTTAAAAAAACATCCTTTAGAGATCTTGTCATGCAATTGAGATTCAAGCCATGGCCATACCCAAACGGATTTTTTGCCCAAAAAAAAAGATTTCTTGTATATGACCATGACAATGTTCGAATTGTCGGAACCACTTCTCCGTCTTCTTTACCTCGATTATGACATCACCGAATGAGACTTATCAGATTTATAGTTATACCACGAGCAACATGATGAATGCCACATGTGCACGGATCAGGATCTGCGCGCCCCTCTGGAGCATTACAAACAGTTGAACACAAAGCATACGAACAAACGACTATTACAAACAGTTGAACACAAAGCATACGAACAAACGACTATTACAAACAGTTGAACACAAAGCATACGAACAAAACGACTATTACAAACAGTTGAACACAAAGCATACGAACAAAACGACTATTACAAACAGTTGAACACAAAGCATACGAACAAAACGACTATTACAAACAGTTGAACACAAAGCATACGAACAAACGACTATTACAAACAGTTGAACACAAAGCATACGAACAAACGACTGTTACAAACAGTTGAACACAAAGCATACGAACAAACGACTGTTACAAACAGTTGAACACAAAGCATACGAACAAAACGACTATTACAAACAGTTGAACACAAAGCATACGAACAAAACGACTATTACAAACAGTTGAACACAAAGCATACGAACAAAACGACTATTACAAACAGTTGAACACAAAGCATACGAACAAACGACTATTACAAACAGTTGAACACAAAGCATACGAACAAAACGACTATTACAAACAGTTGAACACAAAGCATACGAACAAACGACTATTACAAACAGTTGAACACAAAGCATACGAACAAACGACCATTGCAAACAGTTGAACACAAAGCATACGAACAAAACGACTATTACAAACAGTTGAACACAAAGCATACGAACAAAACGACTATTACAAAGAGTTGAACACAAAGCATACGAACAAAACGACTATTACAAAGAGTTGAACACAAAGCATACGAACAAAACGACTATTACAAGCAGTTGAACACAAAGCATACGAACAAACGACTATTACAAACAGTTGAACACAAAGCATACGAACAAACGACTATTACAAACAGCATTAAAAACAAAGAACAATACAACCAACATAAAGGCAAAAGAACACAAGTTTAACCTTTCCAAAATGTCAGGGGGAGCTTCGAAGTATCGGGAATTTACGGGTTACAGTTTCATTATTATTAGAAATATAATACACAATGCGACCTAACAGGGAATATAATCCGTTTTTAGGGTCCCTAATACGGGACAAATACGGGAGTGTGAAAGAGGAAAACATAATATAAAATACAGGTACATAAAAACTAGAAATAATAATTACTCCACGAAGCGTATTCGCACGCGATACCGTTTATTCTGAAATATTACCATTCTCTCTGATGAATCAAATTATTTATGTCAGACGAACGTAAAAAAAAATCTGAATTAATCGTCACTTAAAGTATATAGCGTGAGTTAAAAAAACACTCGACGTTTCATAAGCTTTACTTTCACCATCACGAATTGGTTGACCGATACGATGTGTCGGTGTCTCAACTCACTGGCGACTTGCTTTCGTGATCTTAAATACTTGGTTATCAGTATAGATCCATAAGATTTATTTATTTTAGCCATTTTACAGAGAAAACAGTTCAATTAAATCAAACTTAAAACTAACAAAAATGTAAGTTATAACAGTGTCGCACAGAAACTAATCACCTAAATAACCGTATATCTAACAAACAAAAAAACAATCTTATAGCCATTGTACTGAAGTTCAATTAGTTAACCGTAAAACTGACAACAATAGATAAGAGGTAATCCCATAACAGTGTGGACAACCGTAATGATTATGTTTTTATGTATATGTAAGAGAATGATAATCCCTTTCTTCGTGAATAAGTACGAGCGTTAGCGAGTACTTATCATGAAGTAA